CCTTAACTTAAGTATACCATGGAGACGCTGGGTGGGACAAAGGGTTAATATGCTTGGCTGTTAACCCTAAGGTTGGAAGTTCAAATTCACCCAGAGGACCCTCGAGGGAAAGGCCTGGTAATTTACTTCCCAAAACCCCTATTAGACTCACATGGGGTCCTCATGAGTCAGAATTGACTCAAAGGCAACAGGTGTGGTAGGATGTACCAATGAGGGGGTACATCCCTCCCCTGGATATCCCAAATCACATCGCTGGACCATTTGGTCTGGCATGTGAAGCTCTGCATAAACTTCCCATTCTCGAAAGCAAGTGTGTAACACCATAGCTCCCAACACGGCTCCGGTCATTTCTTTCTGTGGCACCTCCCTCCCCATCCCTTCCTGTTTTTCCTCATTTCTCCCGGGCTACGTTCTCCCACTTCTGAGGGCCAGGATCTGGGGAGACAAGAGTCTCCAAAGGACCGACGGAAGTGTCACTGAGCGGAGGGACTTCAGAGCGAGGCTCCTGGAGGATGATGGGGCTTTGGCTGCTGTTGCTTTTAGCTGAAAGGCCTGCCTGCCTCCTCGGCCCAAACCCTTAGGGAGGTCTACCGAATCCCTCTATTCCCCTAGTCCTACAAAGGAGCCCTGGTGGAGAGGTGGTTTCGTGTTGGGCTTTGATCTGCAGGGTCAGCACTTCGAAACCACCAGCAGCTCCCAGGGAGAAAGTCTGGGCTCTCTCGGAAACCCACAGGGGGTCGCTAGGGGCCAGCAGTGAGTTTGGAGAAAGCTGACAGTAGGGGGTGCCCCTTACTCTTCTCTGAGTGGACTGAGGTGCTGGCCCTGGAAAGGCTTGGCGCTAGGGAGCAACATTAATCCAGAAGGACCAAGATTCACACAGAAGAACAGCTGACGGCTCAGAAAGGGGCCTTTATTTCACAACCAAGAATACGAGGAACCTCAGAAGGGATGATGCCAGTCCGTTCCTAACTGAACCCCGTGGAGGCTGGGGATCACCCCTATAGCGCTTTTGTGCTTAGTTCTCATCAGAGGAGCCACGAAGCCCCCCCTGAATCACTCAGCAAGAAAGAATCGAGTGTTCGCGGTCCCTCGTTTGGAAGTGAGTGGGTGTCTTCAACGCCTGCATTTGTCACTGTGCTCCGGGTTTGCAGACGGCGATCTGGCTGGCACGGACGCTCACAGACTCGGTGGCCGCCAACAGCTGCGCCCAATCGTACCAGCAGGTGCACAGGCAGAGCCCGTCTAAGAACTCGGCGCAGGAACAATGGCACCGTTATAATGCCAGGGGACAAGGCCGGGCGCCAGCTACTACTCGACGACCCTGGCGGTGGGAAGGGCTAGGACTCGGGCGTAGCTCGGCAGCATCTGTCTTTCTTGTCCATGAATCGCATCCACACAGCCAGCAGCAGCCTCTCCTTGTCAGGCCCCAGCCAACCACAGAGTCAGGGGCATAAAAATAAAAACCTCTCCCCCAAACATATTCTTTTCTCTTCAGCAGATCTTCTCCCGTGGGCTGTAGCGCCACACTCACCAAGTTTACATTTACATCCAAATATGCACACACACAAATTACCGATGCAGCTCACTCCCCGGTGACTTTATCACAGGTTGCTAGGTAACAGTGGATACAAGTCAGGTTTCAGGACCTGGAGCACACCACCATAAAATAGCTGCTCGGGCCTTTTGCATAAAGAGTGGACATTTGTTACCTGTTTTCATATGCCAATTGATCAGTTGGTCAAAACTCAGGGGTGCCAAGCCATCAGCACCCCCCACACACATCAGTACTGAACTGAGCAAATGAGATCACAATAGAAAAGCTGGGGTGCACCATCCTTCACACCACCACCACCACCCCCACAAACCGGTTTTTCCCCTTGTGTGATCCGGCTCCCGGCTCTCAGCAGCCTTACAAGCCCGGTCTTGTGCCCGTGGAGGGAGATGGCTCTATGGCTAATTACAGGCTGAAATGGCACTCAGAGCTGAGCCCAGCAGGGGCCGCGTCACTTGCCAAGGCGCCACCCAAAAGGAAACCTCAGCCCCCCTCCCACCACTCTTCTCCAGGGCTAAAAGATTCCTGGAGTCCAGGAGAAAAGGGAATGGTAACCCTTTACGAAGAGTGACTCACCCCTTATTTGGGTTTTCTCTGTTTTGAAGTAAGGAAATGCCCTCTCATCGAAGCTATGGCAAATGAATGTTATTTGCATTCTTTCCCTCAGGAATACACTACAGGAACAATCAAAAACCCCAAACCCACTGATTCTGACTGGTGGCAACCCTACGCGTGACAGAGTACAACTGAGCTCCACAGGACTCTCTCAGCGATAATCTTGATGCGAGATGACCTGGATTGTCCTCCACGGAGCTACCGTGTGACTTCAAACCCCCAACCTACGGGTGAGTAACCAGGCACAATCAACTGTGTCACCCAAGGACCGTGGATAAAACCTACTGCCGTAGAGGGGATTCCAACTCAGAGGTTTTCTGAGGCTGTAAATCTTTTTCCCCCGGAAAAAAGGCCCATCTGTCTCCCAAAGAGCATGTGGTGGCTTTGAAGTGCTGACCTTGAAGTTCGTGCAACGCTTTACCCAACAATGCCACCAGGACTCCTTTCTTATTACTCCATAAACCAAAAAATCAAGCTCGATGCCAGCGAGTCGATTCTGACTCACAGCCACCTTCTCGGATAAGGTAGAACTGTCTCTGTGGGTTTCCAAGACTGAATCCTTAGAGGAGTAGAAACCCTTAGCTTTCTCCCAAGAAGCGGCAGATGGTTTCAAACGGCTGACCTTGCAGGTAGCAGCTCAATGTGATCAGCACATCACCAGGGGGCCTTTGTTTTAACATCGTAGGACTTCTGGTGGTGCTGTCTAGTGAGTGATGGGCTAGGAACCACAAAGTCCATGGTTCAACCCACCAGTACCGATTAAGCCGTCTGCTCTCATCAAGGTTTACAGCCTCAGAAAACCTATTAGAGGGCCGCTGTGAGTCAGAATCTACGCAGCAGCAGTAGGCTGGGTTTGGGTTTGGCTTCTGACAGTGTCAGCATTTCTGAGAAACCATCAAGAAAAGACCACTGTTTCCCTGGAGGTGAAACGGGGTAACAAAGAATCAGGGCTGCATGGAAACACACACCACTCCCCCTTTCCATATTTTCCCAAGATTTGAAACTGGAAAACTCCACCACACGTTTCAACCACATTCTCCCTTGGATGGGGACGTACTAGGCGGGGAAGGAGAGTAGAGAACCCAGCTATACTTCAAGGCTGCGGAGAAGCACCGTTTAGTCCCTTTGCCTCAATCCCCCCTAAGCAGGAGCCCTGGTGGCACAGTGGTGACCTGTTGGCTGCTAACTACAAAGTCAGCAGTTCAAGACTACCAGCTGTACCTCGGGCAATCGACAGGGCTTTCTACTGTTGGAACGTGTTACGGTCTTAGAGACCCAGAGGCAGTTCCGTGCTGTCCTACAGGGTCTCTGTGAGTCAATGGCAATGAGTTTGGGGTTTTTTGACTGTCTACTTTATTCCCTCCCTCACTACACTGCAGGCTGTCTGTGTATCTCCGGGTTATTCCTGCTCTATTTCCCTCCTCCGGTCATTTCTTTCCGTGGCACCTCCCCCCCCATCCATTCCTGTTTTTCCTCATTTCTCCCGGGCTACGTTCTCCTACTTCTGAGGGCCAGGATCTGGGGAGACAGGAGTCTCCAAAGGACCGACTGAGCGGAGGGACTTCAGAGCGAGGCTGAACCTCTAATTCACCTGGCAATGACATTTAGTGAAATGCGACTCACGGTCCATTGAAAGAAGGCGGTGACCAATTATTCTCCACTTAAAAGGGTATTGTCAATCTCCACAGAGCTGAAATGGCATTTGGAAATCATCGTGGGGACTGCCATCTTCCCAGAAAGACAGAACCAATTCTCAACTGACCTTTCCCCACCCTCTGCAACTCCTTGAAAATTTAAAACCACACTTTAAAAAACATAATGAGCAGCAGCACAAGCCCCAAACATGTCTGGTCATTCCAGAAGGGGGCTGGGAACAACAGAGCTCCCTGGGCAGCCCCCCAGTCCCCGCTCAGCCTCGACATTTAGGCACAGTAACTGAAAAGGGGAAAACCAACCAACCAGGCTACCACAAACAGAAGCATCATGTTGAATTTGATGGTGACGGAAAGAGATGTTAATGACTGAGAATCAGTTTTTGAACAGGGTCTATTCCATTTTCTTTCCAAAACGGCATCAAGGGCGGTTGGGAAAGAAGTCTCTGGTTGCTTGGTTTTGTTTTTCGACCCCTTAAAAATGCTTTCAACATTATCCTTTGCTCAAATGTGAAGTCTATATACTCCGAATAAAACTCTTTGAAATCTTCCACATTAAGAACACCACATATTTGAAAAACATGACATAGTATATTCCATCTCCTTCAGAAAAAAAACCAGCACGGAGACAAATTAAAGAGTTCAAATTGCACCCTGCAATTGACAAAAATAGGGCATACCATGACTCCCCATCTTTTCCCACCCCCACCCCCAAAAAAAAAACCAGGGGCAAGGGGCATCGTAAACCAGAAGGAAATCCACGACCTCTCTTGTTTCTGGACCCAACCAAAGCCATGTTCATTTCAAAGCATTGCCAAACAAAGCAGAATAAAGAAAATGGCAGGAGAAAAGTCATGAAGGCAGAGGCGATGAGAACTGAATGGGATCCCGAGCTCCTCTAACTCCTACCAGCTCATTGTGCAGGTGAGAGCCCTGGGAGAGAAAGAGAGAGGGAGAGAGAGAGACAGAGAGAGAGAGAGAGAGAGAGAGAGAGCAAGCGAGCGATTACAACCCTAGTCAAGTACCTGACAGCTGCATGAGAAAATCAGACGCCATCTTAACAGAGATGTCCTGGCTGAACAATGCTGACGCACTGTTGGCCACATACTCGGAGGGGTCTTTCAGCTTTGTGTGGTTGGCGGGCCTGTCGGCAGCACTCAGGGTAAAGGAGGTGGGCAGGCCGTTTTCTTCCTTGGGTTCCTCCTTCACCAGCAAAGGCGAGATGCCAGCCCCACCCTGGCTAGTCCTCTCTGGAGTGTTAGACGTCATCATGGTCCCCACTAGCTCTGTCCCTCCTCCTTCCCTTTGCTGCCCCAGGCAGGCACTGTCACTGAGGTGGGGAGCGCCCTTGACATCTGGGTCTGGGATCTCCTCCTTCACCTTGGCGTCTGTCCTCAGGAAGTGCTGGTGGCAGCGCATGTGGAGTTTCAGGCTGAAGTGGCGGGAGGAAGTGAAAGGGCATAGCTGGCATTGAAAGGTCTCTCCTCGGTCCTGGTGCTGATGAACCTGATGGAGAAGCAAGAAGAATGAGCTACACCCACTGCGCGCTAAGGGGAAACGCCCGGTTGCATATCCACACCATCCATCAATGATTTCCTCACAGTACACAGGGCTGGTCCAGGAGGCAAAATTACACACGCAGCATTTCATTACTGTGCCCCAAGCACGGAGGTGAGTCCCTAAAGGTAGAGCAGGTCCGCGTAGGTTAAGAGCCCATCATTAGAGGCCCGCTCACAACTGCCTATGGATGCTGTGGTTGGGAGAATCCTCCTTACAGCCCATCATCCCATCTCGGTGGACGTCTTCAGAGAAAATACTATAAACCTAGCACCATGCGAACTGATATAATTATGCATTGGGGGTCAAAAGAGGTAAACTGTCCAGTAATTCCTCTCCCAATAATAACACTTTGCATGAGCACAATTATCGTCACCCAGAGAATACGCTGTGTTTTACAAACACGGTTTCCATTTTCGAGATGCTTCTTTTAGGTCATTAAGGACCCGAGGAATAATGGTCCCCAGGCGTTCTCAGTTCATAGACAGGGCAATGGATAGCCCCAGAATCAAGGTGCTAGAGAAGGGGCAGAAAGCCCAAAACAAAAACAAACTCACTGCCATCCAGTTGATGGCGACTCATCTCGGCCCTGTAGAGCAGGGTCGGACTGCCCTCCTACCCTAAGGGTTTCTGAAACTGTAACACTTTATAGGGGGTAGAAAGCCCTAACTTCCTCTCACAGAGGGGCTGGTGGTTTCGAACCGCTGACCTTTCGGTTAGCAGCCCAATGTGGAACCAGTGGGAAAAAAGCCATGCTCTGATCCCCACCAAGGACTCCCAAGCAAGGTAAAACCATCCATCATTTGCAAACATGATTATTTCCCATTCCAGATTCTGATGTCTGCCAAGAGGCAGATTTTTAAACCCAGTCGCAGGCTTCTGTGCGCAATACCTATAAAGATTCTAAGAAACTGTTTCTTCTGGCTACTATCAAATTTCAAGAAATCTTCTCACTGTCATTGAGTTGATCCTGACTCGTAGTGAGCCTACAGGGCAGGGTAGAACTACTCCTGTGGGTGTCTGAGACTGAAACTCTTTCCAGGACTTGAGAGCCTCATATTTCTCCTGAGAAGCAGTTGGTGGTTGTGAACTGCTGACCTTGCAACTGGCAACCCAACTCACAATCCACTGAAGATGGGGATCAGCTGCAGTATGTTTGTGTATCACCAGGGCTCCAAATACAGTGCTCGAAAAAGCAAGGAACTAATTGCATTGGCCTGAGCCCTGGCTCAGGGCTGGCAGGTGTTCCGTCAGCTCCTAACTTCCCCCTTTCATCTCTGCCAATGGCCTTCAGCCCTGACCGATACCACCCCTGCCACTCCCGGGCTGGCCCTCCGGGCCCTGCAGGAGAAACAGCCAATTGTGTCATCTGGGCCCAATAAGTGGTAGGAATTCAAACCCCAAACAGAAGAGACACAACATCAGTATGTAGCAATGTCAGCCGGATTTGAACCCAGGCCTCATCAAGGTTTAGGGCCCGTCCATTAGTCCACCGTGCTAACTGGTCCCCAGATACAGGATTCCATTCCAAGAGAGCAGGCTTCGCTACAGCTGTGCATACATTCTGAATGCAATCCAGAAGCGTTCTCCGCCAGCCAAAACATACTTTTAAATAATGTTAAGTGACCAACAAAAGCAAAGAAATTAAAAGTTAATGGTGAGATCCTGTCGCTACAGCACCCCACTGTGGCTTTTTGAAAAAACCAGCAGAAGACATTCTGGGTCCTTCGCAACAGAAATAGCCATATAAACCTAAATTCAGTTGCAGCCAAGTGCCTGTTCATTAAATGGCTTCCCCTCTGCCTGGGGGTGGGAGGAGCAGGGGGGTAGGTAAACACACCATTTGTCCCTGGCTGTTAGAATGGCCCTTCTCTGTTTTCCACAACAAGGGGATTTAACTCAGGAGCTCATCGTTTCATTCACTTCCTCACAGAAGCCTGGTTTCCTGCCACCTCTCCTATCCAGTGCCCCTGAAACAGACCCCTCCGAGGCCTCAGCTCACAGACCCGCTGGACTGGACACTGGCGGGCGCGGCCATGCCGCTGTCATGCCCCGGAACCAGGTGGTAAAGGTCACGAGGCAGAAAGCTTCCGCCCCCCAGAGTGGAGCAAGGTGGTAGATTCCATTTCCACAGCGTCCTTAAATCTGTTAACCCAGGAGAGGAGAGGAGTTAATCCAAGAACAGACACGACAGAGCGCAGCTTCTGGAAGAAGGAGAAAGGCAGAGAGAGAAGCCCAAGTTCTAAAATCAGAAGGGAGCCTTGAATCAAAAAGAGCCTGGGCGGTGTGTACCAGGGTTGTAGGTGGGGTCTTTTCCGGGAAATCCTGGCCTGGCTATATGCAAATGTGGGGAACTTAATATTTACAGGAAAAACAGGTGATGTTGAGCTGAATTCTGCAGGCCTAACTCCGTTTCCCAAACGGACTCGGTATCCCCATTTGCTTTTCAAGGGAAGTAAGTGTGCCCTTGCTCTTCCAATGTTTCCCCTTCTCTACGGCTAGAAAAAAACGTTTCTGCTTCAGTGCTTCTGCATCCAGAAGGCTCCTTAGAAGCAAGGATGGCGAGTCTTCCTCTCATGGACATTAGGCATGTTCAGCAGGAGGGGTAAAGTCGAGGGGCAGTGAAAACGAGGAAGGCTCTCAACAAGATGGACGCGCAGTGGCTGCCAACCGTGGGCGCAAACAGAACAACTGGGAGGACAGTGCAGGACCAGGCGGTATCTGGTAAGGTTGTGAGGTGGGTGGATATGAGTCGGAACACACTCCAGGGCCCCTAAGAAGATCTTTGGCTTTTATTCTCTTTGGCCTAACACTTGCTTTAAAAACTTCTTAAGTGTTTATGTTCATGTGAAGAGAAACTTGTCTAAAAGATTTCATTCTTTTTACAGACCAACATTTAGAGGGACTCACTTACCAAAGGTTAATGGTCTTGATTGCTAACGAAAAGGTTGGAGGCTGGAGCGACCCACAAGCACCTAGGAAGAAAGGCCTGGTGATCTAGCGATGAAAACAAAGATCACAACGCAGGCCTTGGAAACCCACTGGAGCACACCTCTCCGCTGGCACACACAGGCCCCCACTGTGAGTCAACATCGACTGGTTAGCAACGGTTGTCTGATGGCTTTTAAAATGGTATCATGGAGTTACCAGGATCATTATTACTACCAGGTGCACTCACAAGCCTGAGACCTTGGTATTTCAGAGCATAAATGCTGGAAAGCTCAGCTCCATGTATGGGGACCAGGCCAGGCACTTCATCAGGCCAGAGCTGAACCCAGGAGACCTCCACACCCTGAGTTCTCAGTCCTGCGGCCTGACTGCACCTCATCAGGGTTCTTTAACCCAGCCAGGCAGCCCGTCTGACCTTTCCTGGTCTGCTGTACTGTATGCATGTCACACGTAACTCCCATCTGCTCGCTCATCCTATGGGCTTCAAGGATTTCTAAGAAACTCTGAAGGAGCTGGGGGCAGCTTTGACAAGCTCCCTCTAGACCAGGCCATGAAAACTCGCTCATCATATTACGGATGAAAGGGAGGATTGAAAGGACTGTTTATTTAAAATACTTAGGTAGAATAAAGGAGATCCCGTAATTGTTGACTATATAAAATGTCATCTTTTTAAAATACAGATATACATGGTCAATACTGAAAGATATACATCAAAATAGTAATAATGATTATGCCTGGGTGACAAGAGATAGGGGTTAATTTTATATTCTTTTGTTTATTGCTTTTCCTAAGCCCTCAACAGTAAACTGACATCCAGAAACGAAAAATGCAGAAGTTACGTTAGAGTAATTTCTTACACCATTTCATTGATTTACGTCTAAATATAAATGTTAATGTGCATCCAGATGGCTTCCAGGCAATAATTCCTACATAGACTATATTTACTGAGTGCTTCTCCACATTGGGCATTGAATTAAGCGCCTTATGCGCACGATCTCATTTAACCCATACAACAACCCCATAAGACACACAGCATGAATTTGATCTCCTTGACTTCACCTCGACTATGTTGTGGTACTGAGATGCTAAATAAGGCTTTTCTGACCAAAAGGCTTGAGAGAGTAGCTCATTCACATCTTCATGTTTTAGGTAAACTTTTCAGCAAATGTATCAATGTTTGTATCTATCAGAGCCCTGGAGCCCTGTTGGTATAGGGCGAGTTGGGCTGCTAACTGCAAAGTCAGCAGTTAAACAGCACCAGCCACTCCATGGGAGAAAGATGAGGCTTTCTACTCCTGTGACGAGTTATAGTCTCAGAAACTCACAGGGCAGTTCTACCCTGGCCCAGAGGGTCACTAAGAGTCAGCACCCACTCCATGGCAGTGAGTTGGTTTTCGGAGTTTACTGATAGGCTCTCTCTTGGAAGAAGTACACATCTTAGAAGCGAGGCTGGCCAGCCTCCAACTCATGTACTTTGCACGTGTTATCAGGAGGGACCAGTCCCTAAAGAAGGCCATCAAACTTAAACTGGAGAGTCCCTGAAAAGGAGGAGGACCCTCAAGGAGATGATGGACAGTGGGGGCTACAATGGACCCAAGCATAAAACGTGAGCAGATGCAGCAGGATGAGACAGCACACCATACATGGAGTGGTTGAGTCAGAACTGACTCAGTGGGTCCTCACAATTAATAACCACTGGTAATCAGTCTAACTGGTTGGTTTCAGGAGCGCTGGTGGCCCAGGGTTTAAGCATTTGGCCACTAACCCAAAGCTGGTAGTGAGAAACCACCAGTTCTGAGAGATGAGGCAGTCTGCGTCTATGAAGGTGTACAGGCTCGGAAGCCCGCTGGGGAAAGTCTCCTTTGTCCTACGGGAGTACTAGGAGTCGGAGTGCGTTTGGTTCTCTAGTTTGGTGCGGGGGTTAAAGTGCGCGGCTGCTAACCCAAAGGTCAGTAGTTGGAGACCACCCCCAGTCACTCCTCAGGAAAAGATGCAGCCGTCTGCAGCTGCAAAGATGGCCGCCTAGGAAGTCCCAGGGGACTTCTCCTCTGCCCTGTACGGTTTCTATGAGTCAGTTCAATCGGCTTGATGGCAATGAGTTGGGCCGTGGGTCTTGCTGGTGAACACAGCAGACGTTACCATGCAGAAGGCCACACCCTCCTATTTATGTGTAGACCATACTTGCAGAATCCCGTTAAGAAGAAAGCACTTGTAGTTAGAAAACACAGAAAGTCCCTCGCGTGAGGTGGAAGGCAGGCGGAAGAAAGCGTATCCCATTTGATAACATTCAACTTGCCCGAGCCCACCTCACATTTCCCTTCTCAAAAGCCGGAGTTGGAGCTCAACAGGCTAGGACACCAGGAGTTTAAATAAAGAAGTAATTTCACACAACTGCCTTATTGTACTGGTTATTGATTTGTTCTGAAAGCATTCTAAGATCCCCATGACCCACAGAGACCTCCCAGCTCTCATCTGTAACACTGTCATGGCCGCCGTCCGGATCATCAAAGCACCCGACTGGCCTCCCTGCTGTCTCAGGGTCAGCAGTTCCTGCTATTGAAAGCCTAGCCTTTCCCCCGCCCTCCCTTCCCCTCCATGGGTTTATAAACAGGTAGTTTTAAGTGACCCTGAGCTGAAACCAAGCTTACAAGGTGTCAGGCTGGATGCAAGTTTTCTGCTCGCAGAAGCTTTAAAGGCAGGAGACCCGATTGGTAAGCACAGCTCCTGAGCGAAACACAGAGAAGGTGAAAGACGCCACTTTTAGTTTGAATGGCATTGCTTCTGGAAGTCTAAATCCTGCTAAGGAAATCCACCTTGCAGAGGGTAAGGTGGGAGATGTTACTTGAGGGAAGGTGATGGGAGAGGAGGATTAAAGAAAAGACCCCAGGGTGTGTTCAGTCAAATTCAACCAACCAGACCTCTGGGCTAAGTGGATTGCAAAGAGGAAGGCTACTCCCGGGGGAGGGGAAGCGGCAGTAAAAGGAAAGAAAACACAATTCATCGCAAAGTTCACTCTTGTCCCCTCTTATTTCTAGTGCTCTAAACTAATTCCTAATGGCAGTGGAAGTTGTGTCCCATCATGCTTTGGGGGAGCTACAATTCTACGCCGTGACCACTGAAGGCTTTGACGACCAGATTTTGAAATAAGCAAATGTTTTAATGACATACTACTTGTGGTCAGAGGGAGAAAGAGGAGGCTTCCTACTCCTATAAAGAGTTAGTCTGAGAAACCCAGAGGCAGTTCTACCCTGTCCTACAGCATCACCATAAGGCGGCATCAACTCAATGGCAGTGACTGAGGGCTGTTTTTGTTTTGTTTTACAGCTGAGGAGTGGACACCTTATAAACAAAGTCAAGAGCAAAACACTACCTAAAAAAATAAATCAGTGAACGTGCTATTATGAAGATGTAAAATAGCATTAATGTAAGAAATAACTACCCACTGTGTCTTCCGTGTCTGTCACTCGGCCGGCTTTATCCCCTTAAATACCGATCTCAACTCCTTCCCACAAACATCATGAGGCCCATTGAACAGATGAGAAGATGTCTAAAAGGTAATGTGGTCAAGGCCACTCAGCTGGTAAGTTAAACCACAGGATCCCAAGTCAGGTCTATCACATTCAAAAGTATTTCTATTGTCTTTTATGTTCAGTGGCTGATTTCGATTCCTTTTATCTGTATGGAGGCCTGCTAGTGTAGTGGCTCTGCACTGTCAGCATGGTCGACAGTTCAAAACCACCAGCAGCTCCTCGGGAGAGAAACGGGGCGCTCTACTCCCATCAACAGTTAGTCTCAGAAACTCACAGGGGGGCCTGGCTATGAGTTGGCATCGACACCATGGCAATGAGGTTGTTTTTGTTTTGTTTTGCTTTTCATGTTTACTGAGCTATAATTAACATACCATACAATTTAGGAGTTCACTCAATCCTATCAAGAGGGGCTGTGTAATCGTCACCACGATTAACTGTGGAATCTTTTCTATCTTCTTTCACACATTGATGTGGACTCCCCATGTCCCTCCTCCTCCCCATCCTGCTGTCCCCAAGAAATCACCCATTCCCTGACTGTCTTTGTAATCCCACCCACCCCCCTTCCCCTATCGAAACTCCACTAAACCAATTGGACCCTACCTTCAACTCACTTATAACAGAACCACGGAATGGAAATGCCCCCCTTGAGCTCAAACTGAACCGCACGAGTGGAAGCTGAGGCAGACAATCACGACGCCAAGATTATGTGGTCAGAATTATGGTTGATCTCATCCGTTTTCTCCTTGCATTTTAAGCAGAACTCTTCAAGCCAACGAGGGGCTGCTAAAAACGATTTGCATGTGACTAGGAATTTTCCAACACTTCATCTAAAAGCGGGATACAAAAATTCTCATGAATTCTCTACAGATGCATTACAGACACATGACATGTGCCCCCACCCTGCCCCGTTCCCACGTTCTTCATTGAACATGGAAAACAATGTCCTCAAAGTGTGGTGAGCATAATCCCAGGAACTGAGGCCGTTGAAGCACAGACAGCCTTCAGGAGGACTCTCAGGCTCGGCAGGACTGGCTCCAGTGAGTCCCACGGGGCTAAGCAGAGGTAAAGCCAAAGAGCCTTCAATCCTCATCCCTCAACTGGGTGCCTCTGAGGGTGCCCTGTTGGGTTTGCAAGCCGAAGAGCAAAGCACCAGCGCTGGCACCACCTCAGGGTGAAAGACGTGTGTCCTGAGAGGAACTGTGCTCCACGGTGTCTTCCGTGGTGGTAACCCTTTAGAAGTAGAGTACCAGGCCTTTCTACCGACGGACCCTCCGGCAGACTCCAACTTCCAACTTTTCAGGGAGCAGTTGACACAGTCGTTATTTGCCCCTGCCAGAGACTCTGTGCTAACAGGGGTACATTCTCTCGGAAAGGGGAAGGCCAAAAGCCCTCTCTTTGGTGTTCAGGTTGAGCGACTTTTGCCCCACTTTACTGTGGTCTGTCTCGGACGTATCCCTTTTGCTGTTCCCACGCCAACGCGTCTTCATTTTCTCACAGCCATCGAGTTGATTCTGACTCATAGCAACCCTGTAACATGGGATAGAACTGCCCCTTGTGGCTGTCCAAGGGTTGTAAACTTTTTATGGAAGTAGAAAGCCTGGTCTTTCTGCCACTGAGCGGCTGGCTGGTGACCCTGTGGTTATCAGCCCCATGCATAACCACTACACCAACCAGGGCTCCAGAAAATACCAGTGCCCCCGAAAACACCAGGCAGGCTGTTGTTCCCCTGGAGAACCAGCTGGCTCTGTGCTACCTCTCCAGTCCCGGGATGGTGCCACCAGTGACGACTTTGACTACGAACTAACAGGCTGGTGATCTACTGCGGAGTGGTCACAGCCACTCAAACGACAATGGCGTGTAGGGAGACACCGAAACACGCCCTGCGGTTGCCGTGAGTCTAAACAGCCTCCGCAACGACTTGCTTCTCTTTACCTTTATTAGTATTCCTGCACTGCATACCTTAGAAGATTCTCTCGGCCTGGAAGTTACTGCTGCAAAGCAGGCATCGGTACCTTTACAAGGAGGCCCGTGTCCACCTTCTCCTCCTGCATCCCTCTGCCCTCGGCTCCAGGGAGCAGAGCTGCGGGGCTCCCGGGCCAGGCCTCTGCCCGCGTCTCCCTGCCTGGGAGGTCCTCTGCGGAGGGCTTACCTTCATGTGGGATTTGAGATTGTCCTTGCGGGCACACCGGAAGGGACAGAGCGGGCACTGGTGGCTTTTTAGGCCTGTGTGGATCACCATGTGCCGCTTCCAGTAACTCTTCCTCTTGATAACCAAACCACAGATCGGACACTGGAAAGGCTTCCCGCTTTCCTCTTCTGAGGCTTGGGAAAAAGGGAGAAGAGAGACAAATTGAGGAACACAGACAGGGACATGGCATCGAGCACTAACTCACACCCGCGGCTCTACAAACAACACTACGAACGAGGCATCTTGGTTCTTGGCAACTGCGGGTTTGGGGCCATGTTCTGGGAAGCCTCGTGATTGGTTTCTTCAGGTAAAACCCCGAATTCACGTATTCACGTCTGCCGGGTGCCCCGTTCTGGTGGGAGTCTTACATCAGGAGGCTGCCCCAGCACTGCCTGCCAAGAAGCTGAGCTCCAGGGCTTCGTTTCCTGAAGGAAACTGCCGGAGCCAAGTCCAGGCTGGAGCCCGGAGCTTGGACCTTGACAGATGGTGGGAAATATAAAGCAATCAAAACCCAGCCCACAGCCATGAAGTTGATTCCGACTCAGAGCGCCCCCTATGGGACAGAGTAGACTACCTCCCTTGGCACAATGGTTAAGCAAAGAGCTGCTAACTTCTAGTTCAGCAGTTCGAAACCACCAGCAGCTTCTGTGGGAGAAAGACAAGCCTTTCTACTCCCGTAAAATTTCATCTTGGAAACCCACAGATGCCTTTCTTTCCTGTCCTGTGGGGTCACTATGAGTCAGCACCATCGCCACAGCAGTGAGTTTCTGTGTTTGCAAAGCTGTAAATCCTTACAGGAGCAGACCAGCCTCACCAACCATCGCTGTCATAAGGATTCTAACTCACAGAGACCCTACATAGAGTTTCCCAGTCTGTAGATCTCTATGGGAGCAAACAGCCTCATCTTTCTCCCAAGGTGTGGCTGGTGGGTTAGAACTGCCAACTTTTCTGTTAACAGCCCCGCACTTCACCACAATGCCACCAGGTTGTACACTGAGGCAGAAAATACCCCCATGGCTCTACAGAAAGCCAACTCCCTTCATAAGCCAAACCAACTGACCCCCTTTTGCAATCCCTAGAGCTGACGGAAGGTGCCCTGGGGGCATCCCCGTGAAAGCTCTAACTCAAAGGTCAGCAGTTCGAACCCACCAGCCACTCTGTGGGAGAAAGAAGTGGCACTCTGCTTCCAAAAAGACTTTCAGAGTCCTGCAGGGGCAGTTCTACTCTGTCCTACAGGGTCACGACCCTGGCCTGAGTGGGACTCCATAGCACTGTGTTTCTGAAGTTTAGCGGTCACTTGTGCTGGGCTCCAGCCAACACTGCTGCCAATTGAACTATCAGGGGGTCTGAAGGTCAGGGTTTGTCCACTTATTTCTGTCCCTCTGGCTGCCACTAAAGATGCACGCTGCCTCCCTCTGCCGTGACTGGATCCCGCCGCTCTCCTCCGCACATGCTGCCCATGATGGGAAAACCCACCGCCAGGCAGCCACACAGCCTCCAAGTTTTCCAGAAAGCAAACAGACCAACGATCACCTCCACGTCAACCAAAGATCACGCTTGGCTCCCCGTGTCCCCTCCCCCTGCACCCGCCCCAAAGAGCAGGGTCTCTGTCGTGCCACTGCATTGCTAACGTCCGGGTGAACCAACTTACATTGCTCGGTGCCACACTGGACCTCTGCCGCTTGGGAATATGGAGATAAAAACAAGCTAGAGTTACAGGTGTGATACACAAACATATCCAAGAGAGGAGAATGGGTGGATACAAAAGCAAGACACACAACGGTACGCCTGGGTGATTCTATTTTTGCCTTTTAAGAAACTGGGAATCAACTGCTGCTGAAAACCATCATCAGGTGAAAGGTGGATGGGGAACTTTATAAAGGATGGATCAAATTGATAACACCTAAGATCCACCTTAACCCCACTAAAAATGGAGCAATCAGCCAGGGGTCTTCCATGAGGCCACCTGTGAAGTACACTTAGAAAAATAAAATCCAACCTGAATTTAATCGTGCCTCTATAGAACCCATAGTGACCCTACACTAGCACACGGTAGAACTGCCCCTGTAGAAACTCACTAGGGGAGTGGGAAGTCTCATCTTTCTCCCACAGAACGGTTGCTGGTCTCAAACTACTGATCTTGTGGATAGCATCCTAACTTGTAACCACTCACGACACCACCAAAGCTCCTATGAGTCAGAATTGACTCAGTAACCGTGAGTTTGGTTTTTTTCTAAATAACTAGCAGTTTTCAGGAAACACAGTGATAAATAAATACAGTTCAACACACACCCAGAGGATGGACTTCAACAAACCCCAAATGAGACACCATCCTACAGGACAATGACCCAAATGGCAGTAACACGGTGTCGTCCACAAGGACATGGCATTTTCAACAAGGCAAAACCAAACCAAACTCACTGCTATCGAGTTCATTCGGACTCATAACGACCTGATACGACAGGGTAGAATTGCCCCTGTGAGTTTCCAAGACCATAACCTTTTACGGGAGTAGAAAGCCTCATCTTTCTCCTTTGGAGCAGGCTGATGGTTTTGAACTGCAGACCTTGTGGTTAGCAGCGCAACGTGTAACCACTATGCTACAAAGGCTCCCTAAAAAAATGGGTCAAGGTTATGATAAAGAGATTTAAAAGACATACATATAAAAGAGGTATGCCAGATATGAACTTTACTTGGCTCAGGATTTGAAGAAAGCAATTGTGAAATTAAAAAAAAAAAGTCAAGACACTTTTGAGATTAATTGGGGAATTACTGAGTTGACACTGGGTATTTCATAATATTTTCATAATATTATGGAACAACTGTTAATCCCGTTAGATGTGATAATGGCATTGTGGTTTGTTTGCTTGTTTGTTTTAAAATCCTTATCTGTTGTAGATACATGTGGAAGTATTTAGAAGCAAATGGATATGCTGCTTGGGATTTGCTTTACAATGTTTCAGGAAGAAAAAGGAGCAGACGTGGTGGGGGTGGGGATGGTTGTGGTAAATGAACTAGAGAATGGAATCTTTTTATTTTTGTCTAGAAACATACCCAAGAGTCATTCCCTCTGAAAGACCGGGGATTAAACGGGAGGCACCAGGAAGTGGAGCAGTTTGTTGGTGGTGCGTTTAACCTTTAAGTACTGGCTGCCAACCAAATGCTTGGTGGTTCGAATCTACTCAGAGCTGCCTTGGAAGAAAGGCTTGGTAACTTCGTTCTGAAAAAGCACCCAGGCTGCCAGAAAGATGTGTACGCGTGTTTCACTGACTCTGCAGAGGCATCGGACTGTGGGACCATAATAAACTGTGACTGACCTTGAGAAGAATGGGAACTCCAGAACACTCATTGTGCTCACAGATCAAGAGGCAGGTGTATGACCAGAACCAGGGAACACTGCCTGGCTTAAACTCAGGAAAGGTGTGAGTCAGAGTTGTATCCTCTCACCACACCTGTTCAATCTGTGTGCAGAGCAAACCATCAGAGAAGCTGGATGATATGAAGAAACGTGCAGCATCAGGATGGGAGGAAGGCTTGCTAAGAACCCGTGATATTCAGATGACACAAGCTTGCTTGCTGAAAGTGAGGGGGACTTGAAGCACTTGCTGATGAAGATCTAGGATTGCAGTCTTCAGTAGAGACCACAGGTCAATAGAAAGAAGATCAAAATCGTCACAACTGGACCAATAGGTAACATCATGATAAGTGGAGAGAAAGCTGAAGTTGTCAAGGATTTTTTTTTACGTGGATCCAAAATCAATGCTCACGGAAGCATCAGTCAAGACATCAAAAGATGGATTGCATTAGGTAAATGTGTTCCCCAAGACCTCGAGAGCACGGAAGAAACAGGATGCTACTTTGAGGACAAAGGCGCACCTGACCCAAGCCAGGGTATTCTCCATTGCATCACATGCATTTGGAAGTTGCACGTTGAGGAAGGAAGAACATAGATGAATAGATGCATTTGAACTGCAGTGCTGGAGAATAATTACTGAGATTACCATGGACTGCTAAAAGGACAAACCAATCCGTATTAGAAAAAGGCAAGATTTTGTCTCATATACTTTGGACATATTGTCTGGAGAGACCAGTCTCTGGAGGGGTGGCGAAAATGAGGAAGGCTCTCCAAAAGATGGACTGACGCGGTGGCAGCATCAGTGGGCTCAGGCATAGGAACAATTGTTGTGAGGATGGCCCAGGACTGCGCGCTGCTTCCTTCTACTGTACCTAGGGTCACTGTGCATCAGAGCCAGCCGACTCGACGGCACCGAACAACAACACCAGCATGCTGCTGCTGATTCCCGGCTTCAGGAAGTATTTTCCAGTGGGTTACAAGTCGGGCTGCTCACCTCAAGGTCAGCGGTTCAAAACCACCAGCTGCTTCATGGAGAAAGATGGAACTCTCTACTCCGGTAAGCCGTTACAATCCCAGAAACTCAGAGGGGCAGTTTTAACCATGTCCTATAGCAGTGGTTCTCAATCTGTGGGTCACAACCCCTGTGGGGGTCGAATGACCCTTTCACAGGGGTCGTCCGATTCATAACAGTAGCAAAATTACAGTGATGAAGTAGAAATGAAAATAATTTCATGGTTGGGGTCACCACCGCATGAGGACCTGCATTAAAGGGTGGTGGCATTAGGAAGGTGGAGAACCACTGTACAGGGTCAGGACGAGCCAGAATCAACTTGATGGCAGGGAGTTTGAATTTTGAAATCTGAACCGCCTAATTTTACAGAACTGGCTAGATTTTACACCAACTTGATGGAAGCTTTCAGGAGGAATCCTGGTAGCATCGTGGATGACCCACTGGGCTAACCACAAGAGCAGCAGTTCAAAATCCACCAGCAGTTCTTTGGGAGAAGAACTTTACAGTGTCGGAAACCCATAGGGGCAGTTCCACCCTGTTCTATAGGGTCGCTATGAGTCCACATCCACTCATGGCAGTGAGTTTTGTGTGGGAGAGGAGAGAAAAGTTGAGACATCATCACTGACCTGAGAGTTCCTGGCCCCACCAGAGGAAGGCAATAAAAAGGGGTTCCGAGAAAAAAAAAGAGAGAGAGAGAAAAGACCTTACCAAGTTCCCCGGTGCCCTTGCCTATTTCAACTATGAGCTTCCTATTCCGTCAAACGCAC